CCCTTTTACACAACTTCTTTTCTTTCTCCACACTCTTACACAAAAACCCAAAATTTGACTTCGTGGCTCCTAGGATTTCTAGAAATCGTATTTTTCTTTGCTTGATAGCACTATGTTGTTAAAAGCTCTTTTCTGACGGCTACAGAATATAGTGACAAAAGCAATCACTGTTAAAAAAATTTACTGAAAATTCATAATTTTTTGTAAGAAGTCGATTTACTTACATTCAGTCTGAATTTTCATACCAAAACTTTCATACTTCGCGGTCTGAAAGTTTCAGACGACGTTAGTCTGAATTTTCAGATCAACATGCTGTATGAAAAATGATACCAGTCGGTCTATTTTATCAGACTAAGTTGTACGAAGACATTGAACAGTCGCACTAAAAAATGCCACTCTGTAGAGTAGAACACAAATCGGCAAACTTTTGCCATCGGTTTATCGTAGACGCTCAGCGGATCGTCTTGGCTCAAAAATTAGGTACACGGCAGTAGACTCCTACTTGCAAAGGAAGTGAAGAGGCTAGAGGTGACTGCTGAAATGCGAGGGAGAGCGGCCTTAGCCCAACCACGCGCCGACCCGTGGCCATGCGCGAGAGTGAAATTGTATTCTTTGTTATTTAGCTTATACTGCACTTATTAACCTGAATCTTGCTTTGGTGCGCTCATGCCCTTTCAGACAATCACTTGGAATAAGTTTGTAACAAAATATTCGCAATTTCGCCTTCAAGTGGCAATTTTAGCTCCAAGAGATCATCCATGCGACACTAGCGCCACCTAGCGGATAGAGCAATAAGTGTCCATTTCCGAGCTCTGAAACATTCTCTATGCTTTTACGACACTAAACGTAAATATTATTTGAAATACAACAGTAGTATTGATAAAAGTTCTGAGAAAATCGAAAAATGTACAAAGGGGACGGGGTTTTTTCACTCGTTTTTCGATTTCACAAGTATGAATTTAGTTTTCGGACGACAATGTACAAAACTTGATAGCCATCGCTCTAAATATTCAGACTTGCTAGTCTAAATTCAAATTTCAGACAACAGGTCAAACTTTTCAGACAGTTGGTCTTAATATTCGTACCATTTTATGAATTTACGATTCAGACCACCAAGTAAGACGAAATCAGTCTGAATTTTCATATTTTTTTTAACAGTGACAGATAGTGTCAACTGCGAAGAAGTGTATTTTTCGAAACAGAAATTGGAAATACGAATTGAGGAAGGGACACGGCACTCCCTGTGAAATCTATTGGGAGAACGTCTACGAGCTATCAAGGGAAGACGATAGATGGAATGAAAGTACGCATCATTGATGAAGATGACATGGAGTTCATCACTTATCTTCCGAAGTCGTTCCATTCATTGAAAGAGGATTCCGTAACAGCATTTAATGCAGCCTATGTCGCCAAGACACCCTACAGTGTTGTTTCGTATGGTAATGTGGGAAAGGCCAATTTTGAGAGGCTGCACAAATTCGGTGAATGTAAGCATTTGTGATCTAAATGTTTTGTTTTGTCGTTTGAACTTTTAGTTAATTTGAAAATTTTGTTACAGCTATTGATGTGGCCTATTATCGGAAAGTGAAGAAACTATCTGAAATGAATGAGCGGGGTTCGAGCTCTTCTAGCAGTTCTAATAACAGGTTTGACTCAAGTGAAGCATCACCAGCTCTTCAGAGGGCTCGAAGCCCTATTTAGTCTTCAATTCATATGAAAATTGAAGTTGGTGTTCAATTTTGTATTTTCAGTTAGGCAAATGTTTGTTTGTGTTTAATTTGTTTTGTGTTTGTTACAGGTGACTGAGGTCGAAGGGGATGAAAACAAGACCGGTACAGTCCTATTAGTTTTGCTTTTAGTTAAATTACATGTTTTCAAAGAGGTGTGTTATTACTTAATTTTTGATTGTTTCAGATTAATCCGTTTTCTTCAAGGTTTTGGCAAGCATTTGGTTTTGGTTGTGGCTTACACTCTGAAAAAAAATGACGGTAAATCCTGGATAATTTTTTTGCCAAACTTTACCGTACTTAAAAAACCAGTATCCTCCGTACAGTCAACAGTATTTACCGTACTTGTTTTACAAAATTTTCCGTAGTCTTTTAACAGTAGTTACCGTTCTTCCGTACAGTCCATGCCGTAGGAAAGACCAGATCTGGTCCCATCAAAGGCCGCTTCCAAGAAGTGTCCACATCAGGATCTCAAGGGGGTCGACCGACTGAAAAATTTTATTGCACCTTTCAATAGGTCTCGTCAAGACCTTTCCAACGAGTGGTCGGAAGAGGGGTCCAGGAGTCCGACTTCAGCAGTTGCGTACATCAGGAACTTGGAAAAAGAGGGTCAATCGACTGAACAAAATTATAGCAGTTTTTGATAGGTATTAAAAGTACGGGATTCCCGGGGGAAAATGTACGGGATTCCCTGTAAAAAAAGTACGGCGTTTCCTGTAAAAAAGTACGGTATTGCCTGTAAAAAAACGACGGCATTGCCTGTTAAAAAAAGTACGGTGAAGTCTGGAGTAATCAGTACAGGATTTACCGTGATCTTTTCTCGCAGTGTAGGGTGAAAATAAATATTTAAGAGACTGACTTAGCTATTTTATTTCCATTTTTTCCCGTTTAATACGCTAGTACACGGAACAGATTTAAAACACACAACATTGACTTACCAAGGTAGATAGATACCTTCGGTTTACGTTGAATGTGACAACAGCTTTCACTGAAGCGTTCAACTTTAACTTCAAACAGTTTGTTTCAGAGATCTAGTGCTAAAAAGTCAAAAGTCATGTGGATTTTAAAAACTAATTATAACTTTTGTCCCCACCTACTCCATTTCAGGTTAAGTGCCTTTTGTTTTTCAGACTACAAGAAGAAGTAGCGTTCCGTGAACTCATCTCGGTTCACTGCTGTGAACTTGGTAGGGACCTGCGTTTGTGACCAACCAGGGTGCAGCTTTTGACAGTTCTCAGAACCGGCTTCTAGGTGGCGCGCTGCTGATTCCTGATGCTTTAATTAGTTTTGTTCTTCACTCCGCGACGACTGAGAGCGTTTAATTGTCGGGAGCAGTTTTTCGATGAGGAGACTAGTCTCGGCACCATCTTTCCCCCGAAATTGGAAAAGGCGTTATGTTACAGATGAACGTCCGTGACTAACTGCCATATCGACTTCGGTCAGCCGGGCCATTTTGTGCTGTACTCAAGTTTGATTTTGTGCAGGAAAAGGGGCATTATCGCTGTTTGACGATGTAACTTCCGTGTCATGTCCACTTTAATACACCATTCTAGTCGTGGCCGAGTGAAGAACAAGAAGAATCACAAAAAACAACTTTTAAGCACTTTTACTTCGAATATTTAAGACTCCTTGCTTGGTAGAAGTTGATGAGAATATTTTATTGCAAATACAACATAAGGGAAGGTGGGGTACCATGTGACGGTTTTTGTTAAGTGCCCGTCAACCCAATACTACCAATCACATTGCATCCATAAGTAGTCATGTGAACAAAATGATTCTTCACCTTAAAATTTCTGTTGAGATTTCTAATTTATCTGTTTTGGTTGCTGAGTTATCCCGAGTTGAATGGGCCAAGTCAAAGTGTCACTTCGTACCCCACGTGGTACACTATGTGACAGCCTTAGTGCACCATATGTGACAGTGGCTTTTTGTCAGGGTTTAATCCTATTCAGCGTATCTGTACGCAAAGTATGAATGAAGAAGTCTTTCACCTTTTTATTTCCGTTGAGTTTATCAATTTATCATCTTTGGTTCCCGAGCAATGAAGGTTTCAGTTATTAGTGTACAAATGTCATGGGCTGAACACATTCAACTGAGTGAATCGTGGAATCCCATAGCGAATGACAGTAGTGTCACATGGTGCCCAGATCAACAGTTTTAGGGGAAACAGCAATAACTCTCAAAGTTTATGCCGTAGAGAATCGAGCCAAAGCTTATTTTGCGCTTAAAACATCAAAGAAGAACATCTTGCAGAGCATATGTCCTTAAAATGTATTTTAAAGGTAAAAAGCGGACGCGGCGGGAAATAGAAAAAGTTTCCAATGAGCTATTTTAAGACTATTTCCAATTCTGATCGCTACCATTCCCGTCCTTTTCGAAGGAGATTCACAACCTATTGCACGTCGATTCTCCTTCATGATACCTTCCTTTGAGTCTTCTTACCGCTGTTGGATAGCAAGCCGTTTGGGAGAAAAAGCCAAAGTCACATGGTGGCCGTGTCACATGGTACCCCACCTTCCCTTATTTGCAGTGAATATAGGCACTTTGAATTCCCTATATGAGTCTTTTGTGATTCTTCCTGGTCTTCACTTGGCCACGACTAGAATGGTCTATTAGTTTCGCTTTAGCGATCATAGGTTCGTTCTGGTTCGTTCTCACTTCACTTCCCAATTATGAGGCTCTACGTCTTTGAATGTTGTTTATCCTCTCGGAGAGCGTCACGCAGTGGGCCAGAAGACCGGTGGAGGCGGCCAAAACTCCGGACGCCTTTGGAGCTCCAGAGTCGCTAAATGGGACTCGAACCGAACGTCGAGGGGTCCTATTCAAAAGATCTTATCTGCGCGTTCCCCTCAAGACAATCTTATCTTAAACGCAGGCAAAGTTCACTCAGTTTGATCATTTGATACACCTACAAATCAATATAATCTGTGATTAAATTCCCTGAACTGTGAGGATGAAAGATCAAAGAAAACAACAGTGCATGCAGAAATATATTCCGCTTACTCTCGTACCCATCCCAAATGGTCAAACTGAGTGAAATTCGCCTGCGTTCAAAGATTGTCTTGAGAGGAACGCGCAGATAAGATCTTTTGAATAGGACCCCTCCACGTTCGGTTCGAGTCCCATTTAGCGACTCTGGAGCTAAAAACCCAGTCCAGAGTTTTGACCGCCTCCATCCGCCTTCTGGCCCACTGTGCGTCACCGTTCGGATGCAAACACGCGCTGCTCCGAGAGGTGACTGGCAGCCGGTTTTCCCGCGTCAGTCGGCGCCGAGATGCTGCCGGTCGAGGTGGCCAGTCCGCGGCCGCGCTGCCTGTGGCTGTGCCTCCTGGCGTGCGTCCTGACGGGCGTCACCAGTCGGAGCGTCCCCACGCCGACCTTCGACGCCCCGTACCCAGGCAAGTGGAGCACAGTGGGCCAGAAGACCGGTGGAGGTGGTCAAAACCCCGGACGCGTTTTGAGCTCCAGAGTCGCTATACAGGACTCGAACTGAACGTGTGACCCCACCAATGGATTGCTCTCCGAACGAGGAATCCATTTGTGGGGTCACACGCTCGGTTCGAGTGCTGTTTGGTGACTCTGAACCTAAAAACGCGTCTAGAGTTTTGGCCCACTGTGTGGAGTGTGGTTTGGGAACACAGACTGCTAATCCAAGGCAGCGTGGACATCGAATGGGCCTCGCCTTGCAGGAAAACGTGGTCCAGGAATGGTCCACACTGTGGCTGGTCTCCAATAGACCTTTCCGGGCTAAGCAACTTGTTCAGTATACTCGGATCTTTGCGCCGCCACACTTTAAGATCCAGCTCTTGTGGCGAAACGGAATTGAAATCGGTTTCTACTGGAGTATCAACAACAACGAGTTTAATGCCTTTTCGCTGCAAATAGGTTGGGTCTTACAGTGTGGCGGCGCAAAGATTCGGTTATTGCACAAGAAGCTTAGCCCCGAAAGGTCTATAGCAGACAAAACCCATCCGGCAATGGGTTATAACCCACTTAGACGGGTTGCAACCCACTTAGACGGGTTGCAACCCATTCGAAATGGGTTGAGACCCATTTGGAACGGGTTGAGACCCATTGGGAATGGGTCGTGATGAGGAGAAGTTGACCTTATTATGATTGTGCTCTCCACTGAAAACGTAATGGTCGGACACACAGCCAAATTATGGCGCCAAGAATTGGCATGACACGAAATTTACGCCAGTAAACGGCGTGACATGTGATTCACGCTGTCACTTGGCGAGAATGGCAATGCGTTTTAAGAGAAAAGTCATGCCAAAAAGCGGCATGACAAGAATTCGCACCAAAAATTGGCGTGAATCTTTGAGTCACGCCGATTTTAGGCGTGACTTTTGTGTCATGCTGTTTATTGGCGTGATACATTATTCACGCCTCAGCAGCGGCACGAAGTCACGCCGATAGTCGGTGTCCTCGTGAAAGTTCCCTCTTTTGAAGATTTGTAGAGCTCTTTACATTTAATGTTGTGCCTTATTTCAGACGAGCCAGAAGTGGTGCTTAAGCTAAGAGACGGCACAGATGGTTGTAAAGGATGGAGACTAAACGCCACGTTGGTGGTTTCAGTCGGACCCTGCATTGTGAGGTACGTTTTGCGGTGAGACACAACAATTCTTTCCTAATTTTGGTATTTGTTCTACCACCTCATATAATGTAGGAAAACGTTCTCACCAATCCATGATGATAATAATGATTCTCACCTTTCAAGAGATGAGAATTTCGATTCTCACCACATAAATGTGAGGTGGCGTAGCAGTGCTTCAGTACGTGTGCAGACTTAGGTTTCATGTCATTTGGAACAGCTCGGAAAGACTCTGGACACTGGGCTGGTCAAAGCTGCACTGTAAAAACTTCCGTTCTTTTCTACGGAAATGGTACAGAAAAATGTAGTAAGGAGAAAAGTACGGAACGTCCGTACTTGCTCCATATTATGAAGCCATGTAAACGGGTACGGAAAAAAGTACGGAAGTTCCAGGCAAATAAATTATTGACCAGACATGTTCCTTACTTATTCTGTACCTTTTTCTCACAGTGTGTCAACGTTTCTTTCGCCTTTTCGACATAAAATTGGTATATTCTCTCATTGACAGGGCCAATAAGGATCACCAGGGTGTCCAGGCAGTGGAGCTGCGAAACCAGCGTGTGGCTGTTGCCAACACCCGTTGGTGGAAAGAGGGCTTGGCCTTCTTGTGGCTGCACGAAAAACTCAAGGGCTCAGGAAGCTCCATATCCCTGACATTAGTGGAGCGCGCCCTAGGTATGTCCTACACACTGTACGCTGAAACATTCTTACTATTCACACAAAAAGATGTCTAGATTCAAGCTGGGTTGGTCTTGAAATAAGGCAAACTGAGCAAAATTAAGTTAGAGCCTTACACCTTTTTTCTGGGTTGAAAGGCAACATGTGATTTGCGCTCGCCTTGTCCTGTTGTCCCATGTTATATCGAATGTGACGTCACATTTAATAAACGAACGACACAAAGTTCACACGCTAACGAAAATGACGCCTCATTGGTTGAATAAAAGTGTTAAAAATGATAGAATTTTGTTCCTTCGAGGCATTATTTTGTCCGTAACATGAATGTTTGTGTCCGTCATTAATAAAGTTACATAGAAATCAATTGTTTGTAAGTTTCAAATTCCAAAAATTTGGTAAAATGATCAAAATATTTATATTACAACCCAAAGTCCATCCATACCATGGTTGCAAAAAACTACCGTAACGTACGAACTTCAACGCACAATTTTTTCCGCTCTATCCTAATGATCTCCGCGATTATAGTAACATAGAAGCTGTGAAATTTTGAAATTCTAACCCCATGTTGAACGGAAGGGAAGTCCTTTACGTACTTCAATGTAGAACGCCTAACGAAGGACGCCGAAAATTGTCACAATAAGAGAAAAATAGTGACAAGGAATACGAACTCATCGCAGTCACGACAAAATGCTAATTTTGGTGGTACTTTTCAGGTGAACTGTTGTCGCCCACCACAGCTGCTGTCATGTTCGTTCCAAGGCATTATAGTAGGTTTCATTATGCGTTTTTTTTTTCTTTTCAGAGAAGTTAGGCTCTTCGGATGAAGAGCCCGACGTAGTACTCAACCTGAGAGACGGCTCAAGTGGGTGCAAGGGGTGGGTAGTTAACGCCACGTTAGTACTCTCTACGGGGGACTGTATTGAAAGGTACGTACCAAAGAAAGGCTGGGTTCATATCATTGATCTCTTGACTATCTGCTGCCGAACGATATTGTCAGTTTTGCAAGCTATTTTTGATGATACAAACGCCACCACCCAGAACTGTCAAACCCTCATGTTTGCTTCTCACAGTGCTAGAGATGGTACAGCTCTATTCCACCAATAAGGCATTTCGACCGAAAGAAGAAGAAAAGGAAATTGCAAGATGGCCGCCGCTAGAACATAACAAACCCTCTCTTGTTTTCCTATGTTTTCTGCTCTGCGCATGCGCAGAAGCTCCCGAGCAGAAAACAAGTGAGGGTTTGTTATGTTCTAGCGGCGGCCATCTTGCAATTTCTTTTCCTTCTTCTTCAGTCGAAATACCTCATTGTCAAAAACAGCAGGCGGCGGAGTGTACATGTCACGTTTTCTCCCTTTATCAATTCCCCTTCTCCGCGTTTCTCCCTCTCAGGCATAATAAGGACCACGGTGGCGTTTACGCCGTGCAGCTCCAGGACCAGCGTGTGGACGTCGTCAACACTCGTTGGTGGTTAGAGGGTCTGGCCTTCTTGGCGCTGCGCGAAAAACTCAAGGGCTCGAGCCCCACTTCCGTGGGGGTAGTGCTGCGCCCCTTGGGTACGTTCTTTATCGATTGACTTCTCGATGCCTTTTTCCGAGAAGCAGTCACTATTTGGGGGCATAACCATTAAGTCACTGACATTCAAAATGGGGTATTTTCAACCCAAATCCATCCACTATAAACCTGTCTACTTAGTACACACTTACAACAGGGATCCTTAACTTACCTCATAAGGGCATCATAACGTTATGATAAGAGTTAAAGTTATTACCCTTAACTTCTAACATCTTTTCAAAAGGGTAGGTTATTTTTTTATGTCTCAAATTTGTGCGGATACACTTTTGCAAGTACTTTCATAAGTCCGTACCCTTAACCTTTAGCGAACATTGTCTTATGTCACGTTATGAAAGCAGTGTTAGTTAAAAGTTAAGTTAAGGATCCCTGCTTACAAATGCATGCAAGTACACACTTACAAACGCATGGAGTTATACAGCGTCAAGCATGCTTTTGTAAGTGTACTTGCAAACATGCATTTGTAATTCACCACAGTTTAAGTGCGGTGAAGTTACTTATCATGAGTAATCCCATTTTAAGAAAAGAAATATTTCGCCATGACCCCATCCGATCGTGCTGATATTTTGTGGGCTTGTTTCCCACCTTCATTTCATAGAATCATTTCTTAAATAGGATTACTCCACACGTTGCGTCGGGGTCGAGGCCCTCATGCTAATGTGAAATGTGGTACACACTACAGTTTTCATAAGGGTCAGGATTCACCACGGATGATTTGATGTGTACAATCCATTTTAATCACAGTGGTGAACGGATGGTCACTAAATCCTGGACTTGGATTAGCAGTACCTCGCTGGCAGCATAGATAGATGAGACAACACTCTAAATGTTCTACAGGGAAGATTCTCCATATTATGGTGAAAATGTTCCTTATTATGGTGGTGCAGCTGACTACATAACATACCATTGAGAATTCACTGTACCTTATGGATATTTTGACGAATTTCGTCGGTATCATAGAGAAAATCTCCACCATAATATGTTGGTGCAGCCTTTCACCGTAAGAAATTTACAGTGAACTTTTGGTGGGGCCCACAGTTTCTGATTGCGGCTTCGCGTCAGCTAGCGGCCAGGCGTTCATCATCAAGGGCGAGAATGCATCGGTGAGCGAGTTCCCGTGGCACGCGGGGCTGTACCTGGACTCAGTGCAAGTGTGTGGAGGGTCACTGGTGCTGCCTCGGGTCGTCCTCACAGGTAAGCTGAAACGGGAACCTTGGTCACTGGTAGCCTACGAATGTGACGTCATATTCGTTCGAATGTGAATTTTGTCAGGGTTCGTTTGAATATGACGTCACATTCGTTTGAATGTTGATTCACGTTCAAACGAATGTGACACCACTTGAACGGCCGAGTCGGTCGAGTCACGTTCAAACGAACTTGATAAAATTCACACCGCAACGAATATGACGTCACATTCGTTGGCCACCAGGCCACCAGTATCAGTGGTCCTTGAAGATTAAATCTTACTGGCCCCTTGTACTTAAAACACAAAGGTGAGTTCTTCATCGTCCAAAAGTTGGGTGATGAAGGTTTTCTCGCACAAATTCAGGTGAAAATACTGTTCAACTATGTATAGTTAACTGATAAACCCATCACCCAAAGTTAGGTGATAAATGCTCACCCAAATGTGGCTGATAAAGAATACCTCGCCCAAAATACGGTATTGATAAAGACTCTCACACTCTCGGTGTTTGCTCAGTGTACACACAGACGCATTCTTGGCCAAGTTTTAAGGTTTAAGGATGGACGCTCAACGAACGGCTCTGTCAAGCATGAGCCTCGCACTGTTACTTCGTGAGGTTGATGGGCAACACTAGGGGCCCTTAGTCCGCAGAGTTCGGCACACTTACAAATGCAAACTTAGTAAGGTTAAAACGAAACAAAGAAGAAATATTAGTTTTAAAATCTCTTTCTATGGGCTCTGGATTGATGTTGCCGTTTCATTATGTGGTAACTTAAGAAAATTTATGTGGTATTTTTTTGTTTTTTTCCGACAGCCGCGCATTGTCTCTTTAAAAGTGGCAAACAGTTCGACCCGAGCGACCTCAAAGTGTCCGTCGGCAGTCCTTTCAGGGACCTGTCGCAGACAACCACCGGATCTCAGCAACGAAACGTGAGTCTCTTTCGCTGTCCTCCGGGCAAGTTGAATAATATGAATCAACTGGATGAGGGCAGTGGGACATGAGGGCACTGTTAACTTCACGGAGTTAGACGTTACGCGTAACGCGACAAGGCGTTTAACTTTTGCTGAAACCCATGATGTTAACACGTTGACGTTACGGGCCTGGTTGACGCGTAATTTCACGCGTTAAGTTTCACATTTATTACAACATTTATTACAACACGTTGACAACCCGCTGTGTGCGGAGCAGAGGCGTGCATATCCATCCGTTCGGCATCCGTTCCATCCGCAGCCGTGGCCGCGGGCGGGTCGTCTACCTCTGCGTTCGAGACTTCACCTGGACAGCCTAGCCCCCCACCCCTTGAGGTTTGGGATGGAACGGATGCTCGGCGGATGGATATGCACACATCTGGTGCGGAGGCGTTTTTCAGTGAACGGCGACGCAGACTCCAACGATTCTCGCATATCATTGTTCTTGATTTGCTTGATTTCTTCTTAACTTCCGTCTCTGTCGGTCTCCCCTCATCCTTGAAGTACATTTTCTTTCAGGGGGACAATTTCGTGCATTCTGATTCCAGGACAGGGACTCATCCTGTTGAAACGAATGAGACTTCCCGAACCTTGTTCTCACGCAGGTGTCGCGGCTGATCCCGCATCCACGCTTCCGTGGCTTCGGTCGCAACTTCGCCGACGACATCGGCCTCGTGGTGCTGCAGTCCCCCATCGTCTTCAACGCCTACGTTGTGCCCATTTGCGTGGACTGGGGCGGCAGTGCTGTGCCGAGGCCTTCCGAGAACAGCGTCGGCAAGGTGGGTTCAGGTCGTTTGGCTCACGGTTGAAAAGTCTGAAATGGTATGAGATGTAATGTCTTTTAAAATATGACCGAAGAAGGCAAGAGGATTCTTCGAATGGGATTGAAGTGCAAACGCCGATCAACCTCCGATCTGTCCTGAGACATACATCTTGTTTTCAAGAAATTATCACAGTGAGATCGGTTGGAATCACTCTCATCCCAGGAACGTGACATCACGTTGCAATGAATGTGACTACGTGGATGAGCTTATTTATGGCTGATTCACGTCCAAACGAACGTGACACAATGTTCAAATGAACGTGACAGTTTGTCACATTCATTTCAACGTGATGTCACGTTCCTGAGATGAGCGTGAAGATAGTAAGATTGATACAGTGCGTGCTTACGCTAGTGAACAATTGCAGAAAATTGTGTGAGGCTACGTACAAACTGGCAATTACATCTACTTTCCCGCTACAGATTTCTATCGAAACACCTTTCTAGAGTCCAATAAAACAACTACTCAAAACTCATCTTGCAAAAATTTTACACTCACGATTAGTTGATGTTCAGGGCACGAGTCACTTTCCGGTTGGTGGCGGTGGTGTATTGCTCCTTTCAGTCATGTGTGTGGCGAAAGACTTACAAACTGACTAGTTCCTGTTGTGTTTGTGTGTATGCAGTACGAGTTAGAATTCACCATTTTTCGCTTAATGCAGGTGGTGGGGTGGGGCCGTACCGAAGACACGTCGCCCAGCCCCGTCTTGCAGTCCGCCCAGCTGCCCTTCATCCCTTTCGAGAAGTGCGCCGAGGCCGTGCCGCCCACCTTCCTACCGTTCCTCACCCACGACAAGTTCTGCGCTGGAAATGTTGGTGGTAAGGGCTCGGCTCGTGCACATACCACGTGACCTAAAATGGGCCACTTTTTGACCCCCCCCCCCATGTGACTTTGCGTGACTTTTGCCAGACCCCCTCCCTCCTCCAAAGTCACGTGATTTTCTAAAATCAAAGAAAAATGCAGGAAAATGGTGCGTATTCACAGTAAGAATCTACGAAGGGTCGCTTCGTAATACGAAGAAATTGAAGGCATTGTAAAATCTACGAAGAAATGCTTCGTATTATGAAGCAAAATCCTTCGTAATACGAAGCATTTCTTCGTAATACGAAGCAATTCTACAATGCCTTCATTTTCTTTGTAGTTATGAAGCAAATGCTTCGTAGGCTTTTAAGAGTGTTGCTTTCTAGGCTAAAAAAATACTTGTGAAGAGAACGAGGAGAGGGGCCGTTGCAGAGCGAGACATCGCGAAGCCTGTTACGACAAGACGCGGTCTGGCGTAAACCTACCTTGTTATGATTGCCAATCCTTCAGCAGGCTCGCAGGGTTCAATGGCATCGCTCAGCCACACTGCGCGCTCAAACTAAACGGCGCGTGCCCGTAGTAATTGAAGATGTTTCGGTATCTCCTAAACGGCTACGCACAATTGCTAAAGTGTGGTGTCTGCACGTCCTGAGCATAATAAGCACTAACACTGCAAAGCCGGTCATAAGTTTACTTGCCACAAATTTGGCAAGCTGTTTTGAACGCCAAAAATTGGCAAGCTTGACCTGGAAATACTCCCCAGCATGCCAAAATTTGGCAAGCTTAGCCTGGAAATACCCCCTAGCTTGCCAAAACTTGGCAAGCTTGTGAAGATTTCCGACCATTGCCTGCCAAATTTTGGCATTCAAAACGGCTTGCCAAATTTGTGGCAAGTAAACTTACCACTGGCTTTGCAGTGAGTGGCGTGATCTAAGATCCCTGTTTGTTTCTGCCGAGAAGGTTCTTCAGTTGCCCCAGGGGACAGCGGAGGCGGCCTTGCTTTCCCGCATGATGGCCGATGGTTCCTAATGGGAGTGGTTTCGGTGGGGATCCCCGGCCAACTCACGTACTCAGCCTTCACGGACGTGCACTTGTACAGTTCGTGGCTCAATGAGACCCTGAAGACGATATAGTACAACTGTCTGAACCCATGGTGTGAACTGTACAGAGATATAGAGATAATAAATTTATCGCTCAAACTTGTATGGCAGGAGTTTATTGAAACATCGTATACAGGGTGAGTTTTCTCAATGTGTCAATAATTTGTAGGTAGTTTGGGCACCCCAAGGGGATCATTTTCTACCAATGAACTAGTGGGCGCAAACGTCTAGGTACGGAGATAATTGGTGTTTTGTAATTGGCCTTCGCGCCTGCGAGGTAGGCACCCGCTGCCACTGATGGGCGCAGGACCTCACGTGGGGGTGTCGCGGGTCTAGGAGGGGTGCTTCGAGTCTCGTAGGGGTGCGGCGGACCTTGCAAATGTCTTTTGGGAGGGGTTGTCCCGGGTCTGAAGAGGCTGTCATGGTGCCCCCGTTACAGTGGATCTCACGGCTGTCTTTGCGAGGGTGGCGGGATTGCTCGGATACTTCCGCGAGGTCAGTGGCACTCCCGCGAGTACTGCTAGTCCCGCGACACCCCCTCGACAGGTCCTGCCACCCTCAGTGGCACCGGGTGCCTACCTCGTAGGCGCAAAATCCAAATTCAAAACACCAATTATCTCCGTACCTAAACGTTTGCGCCCACTAGTTCATTGGTGAAAAATGGTCCCCCAGGGATGCCCAAACTGCTTGCAAATTATTGACACATTGAGGAAACTCACCCTGTAGAGAACAAACGAAAGTTTAGGCCGCCACCGGCATTAGGCTACAGAGTTGATGGCACTTTAAATGCAGTAAAGAACTGCAGAAAGGAACTGCAGATAAGCCACTGCCCTTTTGACTAGCTTCTTCATCACAGCCGCAGGTAACAAGAGAATCAGAAGGTGAGGATGAGGAGGAAAACCAGGCTGGAGGTCTCATCCAGCGCTGGTACACTGTAGGGAAAAAATCACAGTAAATCCTGTAGTGATTAGTAAAGCTGTCTTTGTAGTTCAGAGTACAGGATTTACTGTACTTTTTTACAGGATCTACTGTACTTTGTACGGGATTTACTGTTACCATAGGAGTGGAGTACGGAATATCATGTACCACGGAACGTTCCGTACCTCCGTACTATAGTTTTCTGTACCATTTCCGTACAAAAGTACGGAATTTTTTACAGTGTCACCCCCACCGCCCTCTGGGTCCGCGCCTGGCAAAGTGGGGGCAAACGTCAGGCAGGGATTGTCGCAGCATATCGACGGTGATTACTTACCTTGTAGTGAATAGCTCTATAACCGATTGACGCCAGAACAAATCTCTCCTTCTGCTGAGGTGCACGTATGATTAAGTAGAAACCACCCACCCTAGTCATCTGTTCTGAGGTTCATCATGTTTCATGTTGAATCATTTTCTTTATTTCAACATTACTTCGTTTTGAGATTGAGGAGAACTTGAAAAAACTGGAACCAGGACCGCAGGCCGTCTAGGCAAAGAGGGTGATTCATGGCGCCCACCCCCGGCAGCTTGAAGCATGCGGGGCGGGAACACAGCGCCATCGACAAGAACCTGGATCGGCGCGTTCGGACGTCTTCCTCCAGCCACGGTCCCTGCACAGTACCAAGTTCCCGCTGTTGTAAACAATTCACGAGGACCGAAACAGATGAACTATCGTAGGACGATGGCAGGTCGCAAAATTTGTGGTTACCGCATTCTACCCCACGCAGTGGCGGCCTATTGGGGGGGGGGGGAAGTCGCACTTTTTGCCCACTTAAAGGGGCAAAGTAGCATTTTTTGCCTACCTTTCAGGCGGCTATATAGAGGTTATGGAGGGGGGGGGCAAAAAAACCATTGCCCCCCCCCCACCGCGCCTGACCCCACGTGCATATGTGGTAAAAACTATGTCCCTTCAGAAAAGTGGTGTACGAGCCCATAATTTAGCCATTACCTCATGTATTGCGTGGTCAAGACGACATTTTTATGAGGTATAGAGGACGGACCACATATTTGCTGTGGTATTCACCATGAATTTTATGTGGTACTTCGCTGACCACTGATTTTAACGGGTATTGATCGCATTTCCACGTGTAGTAAATTTGGGCAACCACAGTTTTGCGCCTACCACACATCATCTGTAGTCTGTACCACACTTCGAAGGACTTGTACACCACTTGTTTGAAGGGGTGTAATTCTTACCACATTTGTACGTGGGGTAGAATGCGGTAACCACACTTTAGGTCTCACCACAGCCAAATGTGGTAACCTCAGATCACACTTTCGATTTCAGTGTAGTGCACTACCAACCTAACTGTCTACTAAGTACACACTTACAAATGCATGCTTGCAAGTACACACTTACAAATGCATGCTGGGCCAAGTACACACTTACAAATGCACGCTTGCAAGTACACACTTACAAACGCATGCTTGACGCCGTATAACTCCATGCGTCAAGCATGCGTTTGTAAGTGTATACTTGCAAGCATGCATTTGTAAGTGTGTACTTGGCCAAGCATGCGTTTGTAAGTGGGTACTTCCAAGCACGCATTTGTAAGTGTGTACTTAGTTAACAGTTAGGTTTGCAGTGTGTACAACTCCCTTAAAACTTTAAAAAATTGACGTTGAATTGTCTTTATTTTGGGAGCTACGTCACCGTCGTCAGATTGGGACTTACGTTGTAGATGGCCGTACCAATGCCTTGGCTGGCGTCTTCGACGCGTTGCCCGGCCACGCACATGGTCACGAAGAAGACAAAGAGCAGCGAGAAGGAACGCACGGCGAAGCTGTCCGCGCCTCGGCCGGACTGCACCAAGGCCACGGTGCAGAGCAGCGACAGAGACACGCTCATCTACGGGCATGTACGGCCACCCGGATACTCATGCCCTTTTCAAACACTCGATTCCCGTATTGCTTTTTTTGTTTACGGATATTTTACACTCTCGGACTGTTATTGACTTTTTGTCCTTTGTTAAAGAGTATTTTACACAGCAATAAAAAGTGCTATTTCCTCAATTATTATGTAGGATTTTCTTCGTTATATTGACATAAAGTCAATTTGTTATTGACAAAGTGTCAATACGCAATTGACTGCTATTGACAAAGAGTCAATACGCAATTGACTTCTATTGACAAAGAGTCAATACGCAATTGACTTCTACTGACAATGAGTCAATACGCAATTGACTTCTATTGACAAAGAGTCAATACGCAATTGACTTCTATTGACAAAGAGTCAATACGCAATTGACTTAACAAAAATTCAATAATTGATGACAATTTAGTCTTTATAGTGAACAACATTGTACATGCTCTGCAAACTGAAATGTGTGCATGGCACACTCTATTTGGAGCATGCCAAGAAGCACGCTTTAAATTGGAGCATGCCAAGAAGCACGCTTTAAATTGGAGCGTGCTTGGCAGGCACGCTTTAAATTAGAGTGTGCTTACCAGGCACGCTCTAAATTAAAGCGTGCCTGCCAGGCAAATTCTATTTTAAAGCGTGCTTAGCAAGCTCACTCTAAACTACAGCATGGACGGGACGGCAACCACACTCCTGAATCCTCGTAATGGCTTTTATTTTTTAATTATTTAATACATATGTACTAATGCAAGGTTTCCATTTTATACTTTAGGGAAGCAACATTTCAAGTTTTCATTTTATACATCAATAGTTGTGAAAACAGCGGAGAAGCTTTGTTGACGTAAAACACATCTCAGCACTAACAAGACTTAAAATGTTGCTTCCCTAAAGTATAAAATGGAAACTTTACATTAGTACATATTTAGTGGTTGCCGTCCCGTCCCCGTCCATGCTGTAGTTTAGAGTGAGCTTGCTAAGCACGCTTTAAAATAGAGTGTGCCTGCCAAGCACGCTCCAATTTAAAGCGTGCTTCTTGGCATGCTCCAAATAGAGCGTGCCATGCACACATTTCAGTTTGCAGAGTGGTTACAAAGGAAATACTACATATTATTGCTGCTTAAAAAACTACGTAAGCAAAGGACAAAATGTCAATAATGGAGAGAAAAAAGTTAAAACGAGTCTGAGAGTGTACAGAGTTCAATTTTACCGTCACGATTTCGGAACTGAGACCTCTTAACACAAACGAATGTGACACAATGCTCGAACGAAAGAGAAATTTCGTCACATTCGTTTCAACAAGTCACTTTCTTGCAATCAGAGTGTAAGCATTTGCAAAGACCGGCCAAGTTTCTATAAGTTCAAAGAAGCGCGTAACCGCTGCACCTTGCTCGAGGGGCAAACATCTTTGCAAAAATTTGTACACCGTTATTTCAAATTCACGTTATTTCATTTTTATTTCAAAAGTCGTTACACATTTCAATGTTATTTCAAGGGAAGTATACACAAAAATACAAGTTGTTTGCCCCCGACCTTGCTCGCTGGCTTGGCTGTTGCAACCAGCACCTGCAGGAAGCCTGCCGGAGATTTTTCCCACCTGAAACCGCCTGGGGCGGTCTTCGTCACTTACCATCAGGTAAAATGGAAGAAGCAAACCAAATAGGGCGTTCATGAGCTGACACGATCGCAGCAATGCCACGTGCAGTGATATGGTGTGTTCGTTGAAGCCCTGGAACCAAGCCTGATGTAACAAGTCCACACACTTTCGCCAAACTCATCACAGAACTGCATAGTGAGGCGGATCGAGGCCCACTTTGACAGGTACTTATCCGTCTGGGGCCAATTGTAGTGGAAGAAGCGCGTGAGTGAAACCTTGCTCGAGCGAGGAGCAGCGGTGACGCTCTTTTTCGACATCACGAAAACGGCTGGTGTTAGTAAAACGCTTTGCACAGATCAATAGAGCAAATTTAGAGTGGTTTAGGCCAAGTGGCCTGCCCAAATCCCCTCCCCTCAATGTAACACCACGCAACGGAGACAGCCTCTACATCGAGAGGGCGCGGCCAAACAATTTCTTGAGTTTTTGAAATATTTTTGTTTTGCTGCGAACAGTAGTATTGTGGGTGAAGAACGAAGTTCCGAGAAAGGCAATTCGCCAAATGCATTCTCTATTCCGAGTTCTTACCATATGCGCAAAGCGTTTTTTAAAAAAAAAAAGAAACAAAAAAAACAGCCGCCTAGCTTCCATAATTTAAAGCGCGTAACCTCGCACCTCAGGCACGAACATTCAGCCCCTGCCCATGTGGGCATCCTGGAGAACGCTGTGGAGTTCTTCTACAGGCACGAAGAACAGCATCTGGTTTTGGTCGGGTTTCATGGCCGCGATAAGCCTTCTCCACACCAATTCACCTCCACACCGCCAAATCTTGCTAGGCGACGTTGTGCTAGGGAGCGTTGGGCCACCGTGGCACGGCTTATCCCTAACCGCCCTTATCGCCTTTGCCTTCTTCACTTCTTCGATGAATTTGGAATATTCAATTTTGATCGTGTATGCTAAATTTTGTGACTTTTTGGCTTTCATTAATTTTAGATCAAAAATTTCGCGGCTCGTGAGTTTGTCGGGGTCCTGCATTGTGTACTGTACTGTTTGAAAATTTTAAAAACTGTTCATCGGCAACGTAGCCCCATTGTTGCCACCCGGCGGTGAAACCGGGAATTCGCCGATCATAAAACACTGGAGGTGAAAGTCCGATTTCGGGCATTCGCCGGCGATAGCCAGGTCAGAACTGGCTTTCGCCGCTACGGGTAGGCGAAACCGGACTCTCGCCGGCGAAAGCCCGGTTTCACCGATGGTCGGACATTCGCCGAAACACATATAAAACTCGCACTGTTTGAGTAACTGTAAACACTTCTCCCAGGGGAAAGCATGAAGTCCACTGCCTAATTTAGGAACGGAAGTGGTTTTTGTTTTCAGTCTCGCACAGGTTTCACTAAGATTCTTTGTTGCTTTCTTATAGTCCTGCCAATTTGGAAGCTCATTTGAGATGGGCTTTGTGATAACATGCAGTATATGGTTTTTGCCTATCTCTTGCTCAACTATTCACCCACTGAGCGTTTGTTGGCAGGTATCAGACTTGGATTTCTTCTGCATAGATTTTGAAATGCCAGACCCATGCGCATATCTGCAGCGATACAGTGGGCAGTGGGCAATGGGGGCATCACAGTCATGTTCACCAAGCACTTCAAGCAGATTGCCATCAGCCATTCGGATGAAATTTCTTGCAAAGTTCGGACGCTTGGAGGGACATACAGCGCCACTCACAACACTTTGTTCATTGTTTACACTAGCTTTGATGGTGGCAGGAGCTTGTTCATTTTGTACATGTTTGGTTAGGAGTTGCGACCTTAGTTAATTCTAGTCTCTTTCGAGTTTTTTTGACCCGTTCTTCAAGTTTCTTGTTTTGGCAGATCAACGTAATTGCCAGTTTTCTTAGTTCATCATCTTCAACCATGTACTTACTGTTGAGCCCTGGACCTGAGTCCGTGGACGAGTCGAGGATTGAGTCATTCACTTTTCAAGTTGTTTGAGAAGACTTGCACAGGAGGATTTGGGATGTGACCATCGGTTGCACTTATGACAGCTGATAGAAGGTTGAGAGCCGTCATAAATTGTTTTTACTTACAGATAGCCAGGGATCCTTAACTTACCTCATAAGAGCATCATAACGTTATGACAAGAGTCAAAGTTATTACCCTTAACTTCTAACATCTTTTCAAAAGGGTAGGTTATTTTTTATACGTCTGGAATTTGTGTGGATATACTTCAGCAAGTACTTATAAGTCCGTAACCTTAACCTTTAGCGAATATTGTCTTATGTTACGTTATGAAAGCAGTGTTAGTTAAATGTTATGTTAAGTTAAGGATCCCTGCAGATAGCACAATTTTTCACTCACCATGCTGGTTCAGCGCCTTGCAAAAAGTTCTGTAAAAATGCTGCAGTACTCGGCACAGTAACCTCAAACCGAATGACAGGGCACAACCATAGGTTTGACCCGTCAAGCGCATGGAATCGCTCAGGGAAAAAAATCCAGCATAAAGAACTCACTTTCCTAATTTTGAAACAGTATTTGACTTGAACTCATAATATGTGCTCTGAAGCTCTGAATTTGCGATGCTTATTCATTTTGTCCATCAGTGTATTTCAATGTATGCAAGCCGTTTTGCCAACACCGGCCTAGTTTTCGTAGTCTCGAAGCTGCGTAGCGGCAGCAACTCGCTCGAGCATGGCTGCACACGCCTCCTTGGCCGTTGTCACCTCCTGGTGGTCTAGTTTGGTCCGCGCTTCACAGTTTTGTCCAAGTTAGTCCGTGTCCGAGGGGTAACCACCTCAAGAAATCGTGTACAGACTACTCGGTATTAAGCTGTACTACTGGGATATTACACGTGTTACGGCCTTAAAATATTTGACCCAAGAATGGTGTTTACGTTCACGTGCATACGGTTTTAGTGTTCAGGCTATTACGCGTGTGGTTACCACCTCGTCCGTGTCCGCGGCAGTCACGGGGGCGTGAACCAAACTCGCCCACGCACTCTTCAATCTGAAGTGTACATAGTACATTCTCATTTACAGCATACTTCCAAGCACACTCTTGTTCGTAGGATACTTCCAAGCACGCGCTAAATACCTGCCAAGTACGATTAAACTGGCCCATGCTTTTAGATAGGACTAATCGAGTGAATTAAAGCGTTTAAGGCACACTCTTATTTAGCGTTGCTTGGAAGTATGCTATAAATAAGGGTGTACTTTTGTTAGAAGCCTGCTGTAAATGAAAGTGTACCATGTACACACTTTAGTGTGCAGAGCAACGATGCGTGGAGTTGGTCCACACTCAACAGTGCAGCCCACCTTTGGACGCTGCAGCCGCCTCCCCACTTCGCACAGCATCACGGCGCACGCCCTGTGCACGGCCTGCTCCAAGAAGAGAACAGTGTACTGCGCCGCGATGCTGCACGTCACGCCGCCCAGCTCGACCAGCAGCCACTTGGTGCTCAGCAGGGAGGGCGGGCCCCAGGGCTGCCACCACGCCACGCTCTACAAACAGTGCAAACGGCGATAGTCTTTGTTTTGGAATAAAAAGAGTCATCACATTTTTTTGATTTCGATGACAAATACCAAGAATCCGCAATAAGAAAAGTTGTCATTAAAGTTTTCCTCATACAGTCAGCTCTGGTTAGCTGTCCCGACAACCGGGAGGCGCCGAGGACAGCTAACCAGAGGCCGGGCAGGTAGGCCCGGCCGACCCGGGACCGGGGATAGCCGGTAATCCCTCGCCGGCCGGTGGTGGTGGGGATGTCTCTGGGACATCTAACCAGGGGCCAACTCGGGACAGTTAACCAGAGCTGACTGTATCCCGTCCCATCAACCCATCCATTTATCAAATGCCATCGATCCTGTCCCATCCATGCAAGGAGGCAGGCTAGTATGCAGGCCACGGTGATGTAAACGCCAGGCACAGATTCCGACTGTCGTAGCTGGCGCGGTATTGCGAAGCCTGTTAAAAAGTCTAAAGTCCCACACACCAACAACAAGGTTCCAGGCCCGAGCTCCTGAAAAAAAAATCGCAACTGCCTCCTCCCCCTTGAAAGGCGATCACGTGGCGTCCCTCAATAAAAGGGCGATGGTAGTGACTCTTTCATTCTCATCGTAGGTGACGTTACGGTACAATGAATCCAGTTCAAATATAGCAAAAAAATAAAACATGAAGTGTTGGGTATCATTTTAAAATGCAGCTGACCAAATCTGTGCCAAAAAGTCTACATTTTGCATATGAGCTATTTTGCAAATTATTTCAATGGTACCTCGGAAGGGCTGGAATGCATGGACCAGCCACGCTCGGAGAATGAGGAAGTAACACTGAAAAAGTTACACGCATTTAATATAGTTTAGAACCATGTTTAATTTTGTCGTGTTCTTAGGTGTTTAAAAAAAATACATTTGGATTTACAATGCAAGAAGTTCTTAGAAAATCTTATATAAATGAATAACTTATTTTAATGTGGTTACATATTTACGTCATACATAATATAAACTTATTCGAAATTCTCGAAGCTTGGACCTCGTCGTAGGTCATATTTCGAACAACCCGTTCACGCGAAAAATATTGAATAGTAGAAGCCGTTGGTCAATTTTTCAACAAACCTAAATAGTAGAGTGTGTGGTGTGGTGTTTGGATCTAGACCACATCAAATATGGCCAAACGTGGTCTAGACCTTACCAACTGATGCGGTCGAAATTAGGCCTGGGCGATTATTGGTTGTAATCGTAATCGGCCGATGAATAAACTAATCGCGATTGGTGTCGATTAGCAGTTCGGTAATCGCTAATCGAAAACGTACACGATTAATCGAAAATCAACGATTGATCGGGAGAAACCGATTATTTGGAAATTGACAAACGAAGGTTAATACTCGTAACATTGTGAAAATAGCATGTACCAAGAGGATAGGAAAACCATTTACGCAACCTCGAGTGTCTTTGACAACTTTTGTGGCTTAACTAAAAATTTCTCAAGACGTTCCCGCTCAGAATTTGAATAGGTGATGAATAGAATATCCGATAAAGAGACGATTAATCGATAATCGATCATCGTTAAATAATCGGTCAATACTTCGATTACCGAACCACTAATCGGGGGTTTGAAATAATCG